TAAATCATTAGAAATACGACCAAATTATGCAAAGACTTTAAAGAGTCGTGAATTAACATATAGGAAGATGGGTAGATTATGAAGAATTATTGTCTGAAAAGTGATCAATAAAATTATAAAATGAACAGAATTAAATCGGACTTTTACTTCAATCATATTTTGAATTAATGATATGGGTATTATTAACTAGGGCATTATTAACTTAGTCGCTAATTATTAGGTTTATTACACTAAACTTTATTTAGCAGTTGCATTATAATCGGATAATCGAGGTAAATCGCCACTCTCGGCATGTGAAAGTTTTACCGATTAATTAAAAACATTCATTTATTTAAATAATAATAAAAGTTTAAGTGTTAAAAGAACGATATTAATATATGACATGATTTTAAATAAACATTCATTATGTAACAATTCATCAGTCTATTAGATATTAAATATGATAGAATACTGTAAATTTGCATTACTGACAAATAAACTATACTCATACTGTATATGCGTAGTCCAATTAAAAATATTTATTTTAAATTATGTTACATTATTTATTTAAATTAAATACTTGCATGAACGTTATATTTCGATAATACTGCATTAGAAGGTTCGGTATAAATAAATCTATAAATAATTTATTCGAAAATTTATTTGTTAGCCTAACCTTCATATGCTAACATTAAAAAATATCAGATTGTAACGTATAATGAAGTAAACCAAATTTACTGCCTTAAGATGCGACTCATTGAATAACTTTCGTGCCATGCATTTGTTGCTTGTTTAGAATATGATAATCTTAGTTCGACGTATATTTGCTATTTTAACCTTATGCAGAATGAACACCAATTCTAATTCACGCACAATATATATGTCGTACGTCAGAACAGAATATATAGATTTAGAATACACTTAGATTAGAGCGGGATTCCAAATATAGCCCAAATTGATATGAAATTTAAAACGACTTAACTGTTAAGTAGATTCTAGATTCGATACTATTATATTATTATTGATAATTTAGTAGCAACATAAATTCGATACTGTAATCAATTGACGTAACAATAGTTACATTACATGTATCATCATGATAAATTGTCGTGCTTACTTTATTTTTCGTTCTTTGCAAGACTCTTCCTGATAAGCGAATCTCAAGATTATCCGTTTTTACCTCATTATGCATTAAAAGAATTCTTTCTAAGTATCTTAGCAATAAATCGGCTAATGCGCGCGATGACTTTGATTTTTGTGTTAAGGTGTACAAGATCTAGCAAATACAAACAAAACAACTATCGAAAGACATTCCTCTACGAGATCCTCGAATGACACATATAGTTCGATATTATTAGAATGCTAATGCATTGCATTCGTTTGGCCTTGATCAGTTTTTAGTATTCTCTTAACGCTTATATGCGTTCAAGAAGTGTCTATTATACAATTTTCGTCACAGGTAGATAATATTAAAACCGCGTGTGGCAAATAATCGTAAATGTAAAGTACTCTGTGGAAATAAATCATAGATGTACAACCTATGTTAATTTGGTATCAACATATGCGGATTCCAAATCCACAATACATTAATTAATCGGTTGTAAATCAACTGTCTAAAAAAAAAAAAATTGTGGACTAAACAGATTTATGATCATATGTAATGCAAAAAAGGCCAAAAACAAAGTAACAAAAAAGTTGACACAGTTTTTCTTATGAAATTTTGCTATAACCATAATTTCCAATTCTAGTTTTATAGCAAGACCCTAATCCCAATTTAAAAGCACACGTGAAATGTTTTTAAACTAGACGATGTTGAAATTATAACACTTTGTATTTCAAAACTTTATAGTAAGTTATTCAGGTCCATAAAATATTTTTCACTTAGCCATTATTTGTTATGGGACGCCAAGTATAGTAAACGTACTTAAACTTTACTTGGTAGGCATCTAAAATTATTAATGATATCGATATGATGAGAAATATAGATCTTTTTATTCAATAAATTTATTAACATTATCTGTATTCCACGTATTTAGTAAATATTAGGCAAATCTCCGAAAGATAAGCATAAGTATCAAAATTTAAGATAAGTTAACTTATGTTACGTAATGCGTACTTACTTAACAGCCACACGATATTTCACATATAAAGTTTTCTAGTATAGTCAGATGCTCGACACATCTAAAATTTTATATGAAAACTTGCGTCAAAAATGTTTCCCGACTTTTATTTAGTCAATTTTTTTACTGCTATACGATGTAACACAACAATGACGTATCTCATTTGATCAAATCAATGAAGCATGTCAGTCAGTCACATAGTTTCGATTAAGTCTAACAAACTGACATGCGTCATTGTTGTGTTACATAGACAGCTGTAAAAAAAATTGAACTTTAGGACCTAGATTGTTCTCAGTTTTATTTTTAACCACCACCCAAATTTTATATGGTAATTCAAATGCTAAAGAGCAAATTCCAACCTACTTTGAATTAGTTATCACTCGGCAAACATTTTTTGACGCAAATTTTTAGATGCGTCGATTATTCTGGCTATAATAGAAAATTTTATATGAGTGACTTTTATCTTTACGATTTAAATACATTACGTCATAACGTAAAGTCATTGAAGCAAGGCTTGTTCATTCACAAATCAAGAAGTAGAGAACCACAGAAAACATCCAATGCAATTGCAATCAATAAAGTTATTAAAAATCATACATTCTACGTACGGAACGGACTTAAAGTTAGCTACTCCGATCGTAAGTGTACACCAATATGTGCACTTTTAAATAGAACCCACTACGTTTCGAGGCATTACAGAATTAGTTCTACAAAATACCCAAATTTATTGTTTTGTAAAATGACAATCCGAACTTTCCCGATAAACTGTCTATTTATGGATGGCTTTAAAGATACCACGCTTGTCGTACAAATTTCCCCACAATTCTGATATTTATGATAGGAATATAAAAGCTGATGATTGGACGGTATGAACTGTCACTGTTTGTCCTTTGAATTCGATAGTAAAAGTTTATTTTCTGCGGAATATTAAGCTAACTCATATAAATAGGCAAATTATCTTCCGTTGAAGGCTCAAAAAAACCAAACCAAAATATCAGAGGTAAACTATTCATGCAAGATTTTTGAAAAAATTTTTTTATTCATATTGGTTCCTTTTTTTTTTTATTTATAATAGTAAAGCAAATTTTCCTGATGAATAACGTAATGTCTTTTTGGAACCAACTATATATTGGAAAAGCAGTAACACCAAGAAATGAACTAGAAATCATGTACTATAATAAAGTATATGGTTTCAGACACGCTCGTTACAACGAAAATCCGTACTCGGATCCATATAACCCAAACTTCTACTTGGTGCATGTTTAAATGAAGGGATCACTAAATACCTTCGTACAATATAAAATTGATTATAATGGTTACCATTTAATATATCTTATATTGCATATGTATATATATATTCATATCTCATCTACTTATTGTATATTAACATTTTGAATTTTCGTCAAATAATCAATATTCTATCAACCATCAAATATTTTATCAATGAGGACTATTATGCTTATATATATATTATATAGCTCTGATTTATTATGATTATTATTCCTTTCCTTTTTTTTGTAAAAAAAAAAAAAAAAAGAACACCACTTGACGGGTCTTGTTCTAATAAAAAATAAAAAAGATTTAAATTTGTTCACGAATATGTTCACGAATACGTGGACATAAAAATAAAATGTCTCCGTTTTTACGAATTTTTGAAGTTGAAAATGATTGATTGCTATAGTAAATCGAATTAAGTCGAGTATTGGCTAAATAATACAAAAGCTTCTATCCACGTAACTAATTAAACCATTGTACCATTGTGTTTACCTTCCAATCAGCATACAATTATATATGTGAAATAAGGTAATGTTAATCTTGAGTTGGTATTAATAAAATAGACGATCCTAATTATTTTTGCGTCAAAACATATGTACTGCATATTATATTTAAATTACAGCTTTAAATTCGTATAAATTCGTCAAATGTTTAATAAAATGAAAGTTTTATTATATGTTTTAGTATCAGATGGTAAACCTTCAGAGGATAAGATATGAAATAATATGATTTTTCTTATAAATTTGAACGCTTAAATTATTATTATTACCTTTATGAAATCTTCTCTAAATTTATTCCGGTATTACATTATTGTACTACCCAAAAGGTGAGTGTTACTCACAAATTATGGCAATTATTCAAAGTTGTGCATACGCACCAATTTACACAACGTGCGCGTGAGTTCTGCTGCGATAATATAATTATATCAATTCAGTAAACAAGGCAACATTTAATCCATAGGGACCTACTGAATTCCTTTAGTTAATATTTTATCCCAGCTAAATATTATTAAATATTTAATAGTCAATATACTTGTGAAAAACTGTCAAAAATGTCATGTGGATATATTTTAAGCAGATATTGGATATTCACTATAAATGATACATCATTATGATTCACTTAAATTCAATCATTATTAATTTATTCAAATACTGTCATGTAGTGCCAGCATCCTCGCAAAACGATCGTCGTAGTGGCCCTAACCCGAATCGGTAATGCGAACGACGATCCCTCTGAAACAAACCCCGAATCGAAACAGTACGATCGTAAGTCATGCATCAAGCACCAACGTGAAGACTCACCACCCAACTAAATTAGGGAAAAGTCAATTGAGACTAATCCGTCGTTTGAGGTGGAGATTCGACGATGGAAGAATGGCGCAAGTCTTTTGTTCTTCACCCTTGAAATGCTAAAGGCACAAAGGCTGTGGGGTTAAAATTAAGCTAAAAGGGAAAAAACAGCTTAGAATTAGCACATGCGATATCAAATTGGTCAAAAAGCCGTCATCCTTTTCTTATAAATAAAAATATATTTTTCTTTCTCTTGTAATTCGTGTAATTCCCACCCTACACAAATAACTAATAAAATACCTTCAACTGTTCCAAATAAAAAACCAATACCAATCGAAAAACTAAACGCTCTTTAAAATTCCATTTACTTACCCCGTAACGCACTGATAGTCGCCTTAGCCCGTGCCAAATAGAATCCGCCTCACCTTGACTTTCGAGTATCATTACGCGATGTCAACGATTCTCAAGCGACATTTTTTCCGTCTTTTGGTGTGTGTTTTTGTCCATTTAGCCTCTGACAATACATAGACAGTATCGCTAGATATAATCAGATTTTAATAACGATTTTATTTTATTTTAGGCGAAAATATTTTAAAATTCCTATTTCGTAGTGACTTAATAGGTTAATCAAAAAAATTAGCAAAATAGATGTGTTACGAAATGCGAAAACAAATTTAAATTTCAGTCACATTAATAAAAATAGTACTAAAATTACTGAATTAGCAGGTTGATAAGATTTAGTGTCTCTGTAGTAAATGTGTTTAGGATTATGACATTGTATTGTTATAGAATTATTATAAGTAAACCTGACATTGTATTGTTACAGAATTATTATAAGTAAACCTATACTCTTTTTTTAACATCAACATAATTCTAATCATACACATAACCTCCGTTTACACCTATGAACACTAAAACAGTAAGGTGAAACTAAATATGTAAATAAAGCCTTTATTGAAATCGAATGATTACAATAAAAATGTAAAAAATGCTTTGTTTTTTCGAGAAAAGGTTTACAATTCTTACAAGTTACACTGTTATTATTGATTATTAAAAGAAGTTCACTTTGACACTGACAATTTCAGCGATAATCAACTGACATATGATAATGTAACGATACAACAATGTGTGCAGCGTTGATAAACTTCCTTTTTTGGCTCGTTCCACTGTATCAAATAGACCTTTTATTTTTTTGCCTGCTTCTGAATACTCAACTTTATATAATTAATTTTGGGATATTGATGATAAATCTGCTTTATTAAGCGTAGATTTTAATGCAAGAAGAACAAAATATTAGATTATTAGCAAATTGTGTTAATAAAGGTTAAATAATAGAACAATATTTTAAGCATTGAAATATCCTCTTAAATTAATATTTATTGATTAATACATGTTCATATTTTAGAATTTAATATGCTTACGTAAAGCTTTATAAGTGTATAAAAATTACATAATTAATATACAATTAACTGTTTTTTTTAAAAACACTTTTCAAACCATAGGTCTCGAAGAAAATGGAAAAGAAGCTATCGTAATAAGAGCGAATAATTCGATACTTCCACAATATGTGTTATTTTAGTTTGAAGTCTATATTATTGATAAGGGAAACAATAGGTAAGTAATTAATATATGAAAATTCAGACCATCATCTTTTCCAAAGATAGACTAATACTTTGTAAATTTCCTATCATAATCTTTTATCAATTTTCAAAAGGTCTATTGCAATTGAATTTTGTACAAAAATGACTATTTTGAATAAAATGCTCGGTAATTAAAGTTCCTGTATTTTATTAATTATAATTAAATAATAGTAAATAATAAACTAATTAATTTATTATAGGTTGAGAAAATAACTCTTGGGGTTATCACGGTAATGACAGATATTTTTTTGGTTGCTCAAAAATGGGCAAACAATTGTATGTTGCTTGAATTTTAGATATAATGGTGTAAATCTAGGTGATTATTATAATTAATTAATGACTAATTAACAACCAATTAACTAATACTGGATAGTATAAAAAGTCTCTTTTAACACAAATTTATAAGAATTTTGATAAGAATTTATTATTTATATCACATAACTCTTAAGGAATAACATTTCATGAATTGAAAGAAGCCGTGTTTCCTTGTGTTGGAATGATGTCGCAAGGTGGACATGTCGAAGTAAATTTTGGTCGAATATATTGGTAAGCTTATTTAATTTTGTGTGTCTAATTTTTTTTGATTTTAAAAAATGCCAAATTTTTCTTTTATGAATGTGATGATATTGAAGACCAAATATTAAGAGAAAAATGGATTAAAACTGTCAACCGGAAAAATGATTATCAAAAAATCGACAGATAGACATACTTGTAAACTTAACATAATTATCAAAAGTTAAATAATAATGCAGCAGAATTATGGTTTAGAGGAAAAACTTACTTAATTATTGGAAGATATGAAGAAGCTCTTTCAGATTTGACGAACTCTTGGAAATTGAAACAAATAATTTATTTACATAAGATATCAAAGTAAAATCTACTGTTTGATAAATGAATACAAAAATCGGTTAAAGGTTTGGAAAAAATATTGTAAATTAATTCAGACGATTTATGGGTATTGAAAGCTTATGAAATAGCATCTGGCTTTTTAGCATAAATTATAGTATAAATTATAGTATAAATTATAGTATGTTATAGTAAGGATTTGATAATAGTAGGGATTTGACATTACATTAAACATGACTTTCTTGTTCAATTATATTTGAATTAGGAGGTTAGTATAATTTATAACATCAAAAATTTCAAGATTTTTACTATTCTCTAATTATCATTATCTATATATTAATTAAAGGATGTGAGCATACAAGTTTCATTTATTAAAATCAGGATAAACATTGTTTTCTAATAAGTTGAACATATACTAGTGCGTGAGTATAATGTATTATTATTTACTATCGTTATTAAATACTTTCATTTAATCAAAGACATGTGAAATAAATTTATAGTAGTGTGTATAAAAATTCAATTATTCAATTTTCAATCAGAATATCAGCGAAATTAAACGTTATTCCTCTAATTAATGTTTGATTACACGCATATTCAAAGAGTGTGAGTATATGTGAAACTTATTTATTATTAAATATTATTTAAATATTATTTATATAATCAACATCTTCATTGTAAATTATTAGTTCGTAAGCACAGTATAAAAATTTAATTATGTTCGTTTTTCGTGCTTCATAAAAAGAGGCCACTATTTAATCACGTGCGATATTAGCAGCTTGTGAGTATCAATCAATCTATCTATTTATACATGTAAAATCACCGTTTCATGGTATTACGCTTCTTCAATCAATCATTTATAATCAACTGTGCACAACGAATAACAAATTAGGCGGTGAGAACAAAATGTCTTTTTCAATGAATTATTACTCCGATTATTGTAATTATTTTATTTTAATAATTTATCTTTTTATGAAATTCTAGTGCGTGGGTATAAAATTTTATTACGTATATTTCATAGAATCGGGATTTACCGTTAACTTTTGCTTATCTGGCGAATTTTCATTGTTAAAAATTTTTAGACGGTTAAGTATAATTTTTCATTCAAACGGATTAAACGTTTTTTATCGTTATTATAAATTATTTATTCTGATTACATAGTTTAAATGAGTAATTAAAATAAATAGTGCATAAGTATAAGATAAAGTCTAATGTTTATGAAATTTGACGGTAATATCCGGATTTATGTAAATATGATTCATGAATTAATAATCTAATTCCGCTTAAATATTTACATTTTTTATTTGTAAAACTTTGATTTGATGCAACTTTAAATCATTAGCTTGTAAGTAATAATGTTTATAGGGTCAAAAGCTTTTTTATAAATATTTATAATTAAGCATTTCATAACCAATTTGACATGTATTAAATTTTAGACGGTGAATATAAAATTCATTTTGTCAAATTCTATGAGAAAATTCCGTGTTTATGAAACTTTTCGGAAAAATTCGGAAAAACTCGGAACACAGCTCGTATCTTCTTTATAGAGTTCCAAATTGGAATTCTCGGAAACATTTGTATCACCATTTTCATCGATAAGAATATATTCCTTATCAATTTTATCTGTAAGCATACGTATTTAATTTATAAACTGCGCCCTAACTATTTATCGTTACATAATCCAATTTTTCTTTAATCATTGTATTTAAATTATCAGAGAGTCAGTATCAAGAAGATAAGCCAAATAAGTACGATTCATTAAGTAAAGATAACATTCTATATATTATACAAAATTAGCTTGTGAGTATAAAGTTTAATTTAGTGTATAGAATCTTAACATCTATCTACAAAGTTAACGCGTCAAATTTTTAGTCTGTGTGAGTAACTTGCTTATTTGTAAAACCAACCGTTTGCATAAATGTTATTTATCTAATCTATTAAATTAACAAGTTAGTAAGTTATATCAATAAAGTTCATTTTTATAAATTTTATACGTAAAATAATCATTTCATAAATATTAATAAAATATACTTTAAATTGCTAGCCTATAAATATAACATTCATTCATAAATTTATATGCTTTTTGCAAAACTATATCATATATTCGATTGTGTACCAAAGAGAGTAAGTATAAGGTTTTTGTTTACTATATTTGTAAGAGTAGCACCTGTAAAACCGATTTATGATATCTATTACAAGAGAGTAAGTACAATTTATTTATACAAATGCTGAATTATAAAAGTTTATTAAAATTTATTTCTTTAATCAATCAATTGCAAACATATTAAATTAACAGAAAGTGAGTATAAAATTCGTTCTATTATACTTAACCCACATTAATTCGCCACATTAATTCGTCACATTAATTCGTCAAATCAATTCGCTATTTTTGTATATATTATAATAAATAATTGGTTTACATGCATACAAAACGTTAAGTCGTAAATAGAATTCACACACAACTGTAATTAATTTCAAATCAAACCGATATATTATATAAAACAGTATAATGACGCATTATATGATATATTAACAAAAAAAGTTAACATCAATAGGAATATGTACGTATACATTGTGGTCAACATAACAATCCCCCAGCCTGGTGTCAGACATGTGACCCTACAATTGAAACACAAGGATGGACAAGTGGGGATAAAGAAATTGATGATTGTATTAAAGAATTTCAACGTAATGCCACAACATATGATAAAGTGATTGAATGAATTCCATTTAACAGATTGAATAATATACAAATGATAGAAGGTGGGCTTGGGATAGTATATTGAGAAACTTGAGTAGATGATTACGGAAGATATATAAGAACACGTGTACAGTTGCACTTAAAACTTTATTTGATCTTAATATTTTTGATGTTTTAAAAGAAGTAAGGTAAAAACTTTTATGAAATTTCATATTTAATTACTTTTTAATATACTAAATAATTTACAAATTTCAAAAATATTAAGTTTAAAAAGCATATGCAATGTAGAATATATGGTAGTTCTTTTGAAATATATGGTTTAACAAAAAGTCAACCTCTTAATTTATATTTGATGGTATTACAATATGCGAATAGAACAGTATTTAGAATTAAATTTTAAAAAACTTAAATGAAAACTAAGTTACAACAGCTTATATAATATAGTTAATGATTTGGCAAAAATTCATAAAGCAGTATATTCATGGGGACCTTCATAGTGTAAACATTTTACAAATTCAATATGTTTGCGGTCTTATGGAATTTTTCATAAGAATGTATTCATGGTGTTATTCAATGCATTGCTCCGGAAGTTTTATTGAATCGGAATATTCTTCGGCAACTGATGTTCATTCTTTTGGTGTTATTATGATGGAATCAGTAACTGATAAAAGACCTTTTGATGGTTAAAGATTTGTAATGGATTTAGACCAGAATTTGCTGAAGGAACTCCTCATAGTTACGTTGAACTGGTTTGTCAATATATAGACTATGAAGTCAGCTATTGTAGGTTTTAAACCAAACCTTTATAAATGGCAATCTTATAAAGACCTTGATAAAAAAAATAAATTCTTGGCTGCTGACGTAATTATCAACTCTTTGCCAGTATTTCTCCAAAATTAGTGTTACTTTGTATACTAGGATATTTATTGATAGTTAAAAGATAGAAATAATTAATATTTATATTCAGAATGCATATGGTATTTATTGCATTTAATATTACATATTATATAATAATATAAATAACTAATTTTATTGTAATTATTTATTTAGATATTAACTTTGTAATTTTTAATTTTAAAAATTTATTTAATTAAATATTATATAATATACCTATTATAAAATTTAATATTAAATTTATTAATTTTTTAAAAATTGTTTAACAAATTTTTTAGTTTAATTTATTATAAAGTTTAAATAATTATAAAATCAAAGAAAGCAAAAAAATATAATGTTCCAAATAATAAATAATTAGTTATTGAATTTTTGAAGCTTAAATAATTTTTTTGAGGTCTTACTTGCATCTTTATTGGTATTTTTTTTTTTGGTGTTAAGGTGAGGTTTTGCCTTTATCTTTATTATTAATTTGTTTTGGGCAACTATGAGAGTTGA